CGCCCCTTCCCCCGGGGACGGCAGCGCGGCGGCGATGCCCTCCCAGGGCAGCCGGGTCTCCAAAACAACGGAAAAAGTGCTGCCGGGAGCCCCCCTGCTTTCCCCGGCGCAAGGCGTGACCCCCCCGGGGCCGGCGCCCCCTCAGGACCAGCCCGCCGTCCTGAGCACCAACAGCCCCGCCGCTCTCAAAGTGGGCACGCACCAGATCATTCCCAAGAGTTTGGCTTCCGAAATCAAGGTGACGAGCAAAGGCACCGGCCAGAATGCGGAGACGAGCAAGAGGGTGCTGAAGGTGCGCAGCATGGTGGAGAGCCTCAGCGTGCCGTTGGTGGCCGATGCTGAGGAAGAGGCCGAGGGCGACTCGGACAGCCCGGGCTCCCTGAGGCGCGGCCTGCGGTCCACGTCCTACCGCAGGGCCGTGGTGAGCGGCGTGGACTTGGACGGCTCTTCTAATTTTAAGAAAAAAAACAGAATGTCCCAGCCCGTACTTAAAGCAGTTGTCGAAGATAAAGAGAAATTTTCGAGCCTGGGGAGGATAAAGGTGAGTTGTGTTGATCGGTGACACGTTGATTGGAACGGTGCAGGCTACACAGGAGCGTGATTTGCAATCTCTGTGTTTTCTATAAATGCTGGGGTTTTTTTCACTTTACTTTTTGCTACCACGAAACTTTTTGTAGTCACTGAGTGTCGCAGATCACTTACAAGTGGTGTTTTCAAAGTAAAGTGGTGGAGGCTTCAGGGACAGGGTTCTGTGGTGATCTGGGCGGCCCAAAGATGTGTTGATGGCGGCTTGGTGCTCGCATTTCCCGCTGGGTCCCCCAGCGCGTCGGGGTCTTCTTTCAGAATCAAACCCATGTTTTAAACCTGCTTCCCAGAAAGTAGTAAACAGGAAAAAAAAGAGACGTTGGCTTCACTAAGCCTGCCTGCTAGAGTAGACAGACAGAAAAAATGAACTGCCTCCCTTACTCCTCTATCTGGGACATTACTTTTAAAGTATTTTTAAAAATTGGAGTGTGATTTTTTTTAAATTGATAGAGACCACTTCAGGTGTCTTTTTGTAGCTTAATTTCAATGCCTGTAAGTAAAAGCAGAATGCCTGTTTTTAATTCTTGGTTGTAATCCCTTAGTAGATTTATATTGAAAGTTAATGTATTAAATTAGAAATACTTACTGAAAATAATCTTGAACATATCATATTGTAATCTTGTATTTCCTTCTTTTTAAATATAATTTGTTACTTTAAAAAATACATTGGTGGATTTCTGCGGAGTGTTTGGAATTGTGTAATAAAGCACTGCAGGCTAATGGCTGATGCTGTAGCTCTTAAAATAATTACCAAAGAGCTTCATGACAATTTTTAGCCAAATTAAAAATTATGGTTATGGAATCTTTTGTGAAAATGCTGCAAGTAGTGAAAGAGTAATCGATCAAATTGTGAGCTACTACAGAGTAGGGAGGTGGTTTGTTTTGGTTTGGGTTTGGTAGTAGACTTTTTAGCAGTAAGTTATGCTTGAAATAGGAGGACGTGACATTGTCCTGTCTTTACACACAAACCTCCTTTTTGCTAGCAGCGTTTTTTTCAAATAGATTTCTTGGGCCATACCACTTGTTACACCAAAACAGCTGTTTTATTTCAAAGGTTTGTTTTGGTCTCAAAACGTTAGTTTACAAAATACTTAATGTGGTGGCTCTTTGCAGAGTGTGGAAAGAGACAGCCGCTCAGTCATGTACCTTGTATCCTCGTAGAAAAGCCCAGTGACAGTGGAATGAATTGCAAGGTCACTGAACTCTTCTAAAGCTGGTATACTATGCTTTTGAAACGTAGGAAAAATGAAGAATTTGGGACAAATGCATGTAAACAACGCGTGAGAAAGGGGAAGCTAGAGTAGCTTATCACTTTTCTGTGATGAAACAGTTGTTTTCATGAATCCTTGTCCAACATCAGAAGTTTATAGATTAGGGCCTGTTAATTTGGTGCTTAAGTGTCAAATAAAACAGAAAATCTTGTTACTGTTGGTTATTTTGCATTCTTCCTTTAATGTATATATATCTCTTTCCTGTTAAAATTATCAGAAGAAAATGCTGAAAGGACAAGGGACGTTTGATGGGGAAGGTAAGCCCTTTTCTGTACAGACTTGATAATATGCTCAATCACAAGAGAAATGAACTTCAGGATCATTTTGCATACTTCTTTTGTTCGTAGTCAAAGCCTGGGTACCTTGTTTTTCAGTAGACTGACTGAGATACAGAACCATAATTTTGACACTAGACATACTTTAGGGAATATTTTAAAGAATATAGAATGGCAGGCTAAAAATGGGGTTTTGTTTGAAGGGCTTCTTTTTAAATTCCTGTCCCTCCTGAACGATGAACTGGTCAATGTTGTCTGTCTCAGCCCTGACAGTTCCATAGAATAACATAGATGAGGCTTCTTCTCCAGTTGGGACTGCCTTCCTCCCTGTTCCCTGGGACTCTTCCCAGGTGCAAGCCGTAGCTTTTGTGGATCAGCTTATGCGTTTAGGGTCATCACTTGCAGCAGACGCCTGGATTGTTATTCTCCCGAGTTTATGTTTCATGCAGCTAATTCTCTCATTTCCTCATAAGGCAAGGATGCTGGGGTGAGTTCTTGAGTTTGTAATCCTTTTTTTTTTTCTTTCTCTTACTACCTAGGCTTGAAGTTTAAGTGTCAGAAAAACACTGTCCATGTGTCTGCTATTTTATGTTACTCATTAATTCTGGACTTTGGCAAGTTTGCTGCTTTTCACAGTAGTTTCATGCAGCTATTTCTCTCATTTCCTCATAAGGCAAGGATGCTGGGGTGAGTTCTTGAGTTTGTAATCCTTTTTTTTTTTCTTTCTCTTACTACCTAGGCTTGAAGTTTAAGTGTCAGAAAAACACTGTCCATGTGTCTGCTATTTTATGTTACTCATTAATTCTGGACTTTGGCAAGTTTGCTGCTTTTCACAGTATTTCAACAAGAAAAAAATTCTTTCCTGGCTATGAGTCCATGCAAGTTTCATTATAATAACTGCTACTCTCTTGGCTTTTCTCTGTTTAATGCCTCGTTAAGGTCATCTCAGCTGCTGTGTTACCTTCCTTTTCTTCTTGTTTCTATTTTCAAAACTTTCCACTTTGTTCTCTTTGCGTTACCTTCCTTTTCCTCTTGTTTCTGTTTTCAAAACTTTCCACTTTGTTCTCTTTGCATCCCCCCCATCTTACTTTCATCTTTTCTCACATTATCTCCTGATGACGTTTTCTAGATTCTCTTCCAGTGGCTCCCTTCCATCTTGGATTGATCCCAACTAATAACTTTCTCTGTAATGCCTCTCAGAACTCAGTTGCTGTACACAATTTCCTGTCTTAAAAGTGTATAAACTATATAGACACATTCCAAAGAACAAGGACAGAAGGCCAGACCTTGTTTCATACTCAGCCAGGGCTGTGTGGTCTGGGCAGGTGGAACAGATCCACCCAGCCTGGTGTAAGGCCTCACGAGTTGCAACTGTGCGCAGAGCAGCCAGACCTTTCACTTCTTTCCCCTTCCTCTCGTAGGGGACGATTGGATATTGTCCAGAGCCTGGCCCATCTCTAAAGTAGCTTTTAGAGCTTGTTTTCTTAACAGCTTAATCCGTCTGTCGGTTATTCTGGTCTTGAATTTCCCTGTCCTTTTCTGCCTGCTTTTGGAAAGGATGTGCGGTCAAGGAGGCTGGGAAATGAAAACGGTGTGCTCCACACCTGTGGTTTTTTGCCCTTGATATTACTGAATTAATACTGGCAGTACTGAAATACATAACGAGTGTATTTTGTCTTAAGGTTCATAGACCTCATGCTTATTCAAGCCAGCTTCGAAGTTTCTGTTTGGAATAGTTCTGACCTCAAATTTCTGAAATTTGGATCATTTCCTTCTCTTAGTGAAGTGCGAAGACAGTATTTAAAGCTGACAGAATAAAAGTTGGCATGGGTAGTGGACTTACAATGGTCTTGTAGATTAAAATAGCTAGACCTCCAAATGAGTGACTCCGCTCTACTGACATGCTTGTTCCATTTTTAAATTGCTGGCTAATTATGAAACATTGTACAGCAAACCAAGGAAGAAAAAATTGTTTTCTGTTTTTTCTTGACAAAGGCCACATCTGTTCTTTAATTCAGTCAGCGTGGATCTTTTTGGTAGCGGTACAGTGATCCATTGTTACTCTACTGCACCATTGTCCATCCTAAATAAGATGCTATCTTTGTCTCTTGGAGTTTGTGAACATTGTGATTTCTTTCATTGTTTAAATGTTACTTATAATTTTTATGAAATCAATTAAGCTAACTTTCTAGCAATTAATGACATACTGTCGTTCTTTTATAGAAAATGCTGTATTGTATCAGAACTATAAAGAAAAAGCTCTTGACATAGATTCTGATGAAGAGTCGGAGCCCCGAGAGCAGAAGTCAGATGAAAAGATTGTTTTTCACTATAAGCCCCTGAGATCAACATGGAGTCAGCTGTCCGTTGTGAGTATTTGATCATTGTATAGCCAGACAAAGAAGGTATCTAAGAATGTATTGAAGCAAGTCTTTTTACTTGCTATTGGAGTTTTTGGCTGAAGTTTGTCATCTTCTTTTCCCTTCCAAAATATAAGGTGTCTCCGAATACAATTTTTTATTGTCAAGTTTGCAGCTATTCAGATGTTACTAATCCAAATCCAGAGGTCTCAATTTAGCTTCTGTTTAGGCTTTATGTAAGGTCATTCCAGCAGCTTAGAGAAAGTATGAATAATGTTTTCTCAGTCAATTTTAGTAGATATAGTTGGAAATTGTGGTAGATATAGGACTGATGCTCCTGCCAGAATCAGTTTCCCTCATTACCTGACATGTCCCTCTTTCTGGTGCAAGTGTTTGTAGGCTCATGTGATCACACAACAGACTGGTTAGAGTACGTGATTTGAAATTACCAAGAAAAAAAATTCAGTGAGGTTTAAGGTGAAATTAAATACAACTTTGAAAGGAATTAATATTTCGTAATTTCATGCTTTAAGGTACATTTCTACTATGTTTTTTTCTTTTTAAACTGTACTGGACATAAAAAAATCAAGCATGCCTCTTTTGTTTGCACATTGAATTCAAGGCCCTGACTATGTTCTTCCGACAGTCGCTCAAGATGGCTGCTTAGGCCTTGCCTGCGCAGGGTGTTGGCAGCTGTACTGATGCACAACCTTAGAAGAGTTACAGTTTGCACCAATGTACGTTACTATAGCTGGATGTTCTGACTGAGGTACCATCAGAAAGCCTGAAAAGACAGGTTTAAATCCTAACAGCATGTAAACTCAGAGTGAAATCTGTACTTTAGTTCCTTCTAGTAAATTGGAGTGATGTGGACCAAACCTTCAACAGGATTTAGTCCTGCTCTTTTTTTTTTCTAAACCTGTTTTTCATTTTATAAGAACAACATGAAAGTCCTGATCAATTACTGGTCTTTGTTTTACATAAAAAACAATGCAATTGAGAAAGCGTATTTTAGGGTCCTGTATTTGGCAAAGACACAACTTTACTGATAGGTTAAAAAAAAAAGTGTGTGTGAATTCACTAAAAGGGTGAATTATGCTAAAGAAAAGCTTCACTTAGTTACAAACAAGTTTCTGCTGAATTGTTCTAAATTGCTGCAAGCCAATTCTAAATTGATTTGGCTGCCTATATTTAATGGAAACCATTTTACAAAAGCTGAGTGTTCAAATGGTCGTATTCTCTCCTTAGCACAGTCTGTGAAGCATCTGCAGTGGCTTTTTCTTGATAGCATCATTAAGCAAAGTAGAATTCAGCTATTCTAATCAGTACTGTAATCTTGCTAACTTCCCTGCTAATAAGCTGGCAAATTGACGATACTAGTTGATGTTTCTACAGGCTTTCATCATATGCATGATTTTGAGACTAAAGAAACTGTAAAAATTCTGTGTTTCTGTGTTTAATTTTATCCTTTGATCATTTCTGTGACTTCTGGAGGGATATCCCCAAAATGAAGGCTTTGGGTTTTTGTGTTGGTTTGGGGTTTTTTTGTTTATGTAAGTTGCAGAATGTTGTAGAATCTCATCTCTATATGTGGCATAAGAAACATTATTACATGACATGATCACCTAGAATATTTGGCAATTGGGGCCCTTGGCTGTGTATATCCTAAATAAATTAGTTATTAAGCCTCTGCGAGATCTTCTAAGGCTATTTAGATTGTCTGTTTAGAAGAGCTGTCTTACAGATGTTAATGACGTTTTGGAGTTTAAGGTGTTGAAATATGAATCCCTCTTTGATTCAAGAATTATGAGGCAGACAATGTAGTTTTGAAAAGACTCACTTTAAGTTTTTTTTTTCAACAGATCAAGTACTTTAAATATAGTTAATTTGCTTAATGTTGCAAAAGAGTTTGTTTATAATGAAGTCAAATTGTGTCTTTTTTCTGCCTTCTAGGCAAACCAGCAGTTAAATGTTCAACAGCTGAGGTCTTTTGGAAGGAATGCTGTTCAGTAATAATAATAATAATTTCAAAAACACTAATTTGTTGTGAGACCAGAATAGTATGACAGTCATCTTGCGAAGAGAACCATTCCTGTGCCATGCTTACAGTTATATAACCCAACTAGTTCTTTACGTTTTCTAGCACAGCGGACTTGCTCGGTGTCTTTACTTGATTTACAAGGTTGGAAGTAGGGAGTATATGGGAAAAGGTAGTGCACTGTGAAAACAAAATATGGGAATCTGAATCTCATAGCATCTGTGTTTATAAATCTCTGGAAAAATTACATGCTATCAATGTGTATTAAAAACAGTGGAATTGTAACAGGAAGTCAGCTGGAAAATGTCAAAGTGTTGGGTTTCAACATATGTTAGGAAAGAAGGAGAGTAATATGTTCACGGTATTTGTTAGCGGTGGCTACACTGGGAAATTGAGGGGAAAGACAGCAGAACGAGTCCACTCTTTCTGCAGGATGTGTCTTTGGCTCTGCAGGCTTGACAGCTGATGCAGTTGTGGCCAGACTTTCTGTTGGAGGGGGACAGCGAAACCTTCATGCATGGACTTGTCAAATCCTTTATGATAATAATAAAAAAAAGGGTGTTTCTATATCTCTGCAGTGTGGACACACATGTGAAACTAAGATTGAGCTTTTCAGAGAACATTGAAAGACTCTGAAGTAGGGTGCTATTTAAATCCCATTTCTTTCAAGTTCCTCCCTTGAACTCTCTTCCTCTTTAGATTCCTGTTACAGATAAGACAGCTGGCAGTAGCTAAGCAGATGACTAGGTGAAGAGCTACCTTATCTACTATCTCTGTTCCTTCCAACCTTCATCTGTTAATTTAGAAGTTCGATTTAGGGAGAATAACCAGTATTTTCAAAACACATTCCAAAAGTATCTTTCAATATTTTTGGAGAATTTCCAGCAGATCATAGGCAGTGATACCAACTTGTGCACTATGTTAAATATATTTACTTTCCAACAAATGCAGCATTCGGTTGGTATGGATAATGACAGTGTGTATTACTGTGCATGCAAAGAATCACAGTATCCATTAGGTTGGAAGGGACCTCTTGAGATCATCGCATCCAGCCCCTTGAGGAGGGTCGTTTAGAGCAAGTTGTCCAGGACTGTGTCCAGTCAGGTTTTTAGTATCTCCACAGGTGGAGACCTCACCACCTCCCTGGGCAACCTGTTGCAGTTTGACCACCGTTATCTGACTGGTGAACTTGGAACGTAAATGTCTGTTTTTCCAAGTCCTTACCATCCAGCCTGGAGAATATGATGCATGTTCACTTTTCATTACTACTGTTAATGCTACTGTGATTCTTACAAATATTCTTGAGATCTGCCACTGGAAACAAATGTCCCATAGCATGGATAATGCTCATAATTATTCAAGTATGTAATATTAACTGGGTGTTTTAGCATCAAGTCCTCCATTTCATGGCCAGTAGGGTCAATGTACTTATGTAGCATTGCATCAAGACTTTGCATGTTCTCTCTAACCTGAAACTCTTTCCAAGCATTTGTCATTTGTGTTTCATTTTTCTCATGATCTCTCTTTCTGTTTTGGGACAAGTGTGGTTGTGATTTTTGTCATTCATTTAAAAAGCTGCTGCGAGTTGCTTTACTGAGCCGCTCACACCGTCGCCTTTCCATGGCTGCCTCTTCTCTGTGGAATCAAACAAAACCTACCTGGTTTTGCTGTCAGGAGTCTTCAGGGCTAATCTGTGCATTAGGTCTCATTTCTCTCCCAGTATCAAAGGGCTTATGTTCAATTTAGTTTGTGGTGCAGCTACTAACTATATTTCTCAGAGAAATACTCCTGGTGAGTCCCCCCCCGAGCCCTGCAGCACCTCTGTATTTTGGAGGAACTTCTTGTACCTAACCACAGAGTTCACCTGGTGTTCTTCCATCCTGTCCTCCTTGTCTCCATGGTTCAATCAGTCATGACTGAGTTGGTGGAAAAGAGTCCAGTGTGACAGTAAGACAACTTTAGTAGCTGTGGTCTTTGGCCTCTTCCATTCTTTCTGGATATGTTCTTAGCTTATATTAAGTTTTCGTTTGCATAGTATCACAAATGTGTTTTTTAGGCTATTTCAGCTAAACATTTTGGACACCTCAAAAATAGCAATATAATTATCTCTCACAGAGTATGCCAAAATAGTCTCCGTATTTGGGCCTCTTTCTCTTTGGAAGTGTTGCCATTGATTAAGAATATAAGGTTGAGTCATTTGCTTATGTGATGAATTTGTGTGTGTACTTTGTTTGTACACGCCCATATATGACAAAGTAACGATCACAAAACACAGCTACGTTTTTTTGAACATGAATACAGCGTTTGCTGCGTTGACCTCGCTGGAAATTTGCAGTTGCTCTGTTAACAGGAAGCACTGAAATCTCTTGGATATGTTCGTAGGTATTTCCTGTGTCAGCATATTTTTAGAAATCTTCCACTGCATCTAGAAAAAAGTGACATTATGCTTCCTAGTGAGTGCTTTAAAGCTTTCAGGTTGTTGATTGAAAGGTACTTTAATAGAAAGGCATCTAATTAGTTCTTGCTTGATATTCAGAAGTGTGTGCTTGTGGTGACATAGGAAGCTGTAACTTGTGTTCCAGAGAACAATTGCTTAAACACTGAAATATTTATGTTATTTTTATAAGTATATACATGGGTGTATATACTTTGATGTGCATGCAAACCAAAGTGCAGCGGTTCTTGATGTTGTGCCATCTTACTCTTGAGCCTGCTACCCAGGTTTGTGATGCCTGGTATGCAGGAATAAAACGAGGAATAATACATCCTTTGAAATTCCAGGGAACAAGTGGAGTAAGAAGAGAAAGCTGCTGGTGGTGGTATGTTAGGAGCTTTTGGAGAAGACTGAAAGAGAAATGGGAGAATGGAGGTGCATCTGTTAGGTCTCGTGTCCCGTGACTTACTACCACTCCACGAAGAGAACAGTATCTGTCACACGTGTAGTGCTGTGCAGTGGCCTGCCTCTCCCCTTCCCTGGGCCAGCATCCCATACGCAGGTGACCCTCCTGGTGTGAGCTCCTGTGTTTAACACTCCTCTAGGAAATGTGTGAAGTCAGTCCCTCCTTGGTGCTTCGCTTGCTGTTGTGTTGTGTGGTGGTGTTTGGTTTTTTTCCTAATATTCTGTTGAATGACATAATGCATGTGATTTGCACCAGGAAAGAATAAACTTCAGGGGTCTCTGGTGTGGAATTTGGTAGCTGAGTATGTGGCTTCAGGCTGTGGGAAATGTGGCTGTGGCTGGAGTCCATGGTGGGTGCATAGGGAGAGCTGGGGCAGACTTGTCTTGGCTGCTTTGGCTGTAGGGTGCCGAGGCGGGAGAGACATCGTTGTAGGGTTGAGGGCAGAAATACAGGGGTATTTACCCAGGATTTTATCATGCCTGTTTAGGGTAAAGCTAGAGCTCCTCCAGAATAATTTTTTTGGCCAACAAACTACCTGTCTGTCTAGGTGTGTTTTTAACAAATGAAGACGCTAAGATTTTTCAGGCCAACTTGCAAAACAAAACTTGTGATGTTTGTGTGTCAGTCAAGAAATCGGAACTTAAAAGGAGAAAGCAGTTTTTGTGCTCCTGTGCGTGTGCAAAATCCAGGGAGGTTGTGCAGGGTGACCGTGATTCAACTGTGCATGCTTTCGCTGCAGTAGTAGTTCTGCGTTTGTGTCTTGGGATAGCTTTTAATGAAATTGCTTAGTTCTTTTGATAAGTCAAATGACAGATGTTATTGACTTAATTTTTTTTTATTTCTGCTAGTTCACTGCTGTCTTTCTGAAATGGACGGATTCTTTAGCTGAATTCTTAGTGCATTGTTTTGATAGTCCTATATATATTTTTAATAGCTTTTTTCTACAAAAGATATTAAAAATTTTAATTAACTTCTTTATTCTTTAGGTAAAGAAGAACGGGTTATCAGAAGCAATCAGCCAGGAAGAAAGAAAAAGACAGGAGGTACTCTTTAAAGTAACACATTCTTTCTCATTGATTGTTTAGGGATGCACTGCATGCCTGGTTTAATACTCTCTGTTTGTTGATAAGGAGACAAGTTCATCACAGTGCTTCCTGTCCTAGAGTGAAGTGTCTTCTCTCCCCAGGGAGAACTAATAAACAAGCCCTGTCTATTGCTGGTGTGCATGCGTCCCTGCCACGGGACATGCCCCTGCCAACATCCTGCGGGTCTTGCTGGAGGAGTGGTTCCTAGGTATGCTCACTCCAGCAGATGTAGCCTGGTTGTTGGCTGCTCATAGCAGTGGTCAGTCACTGCTGCGTGCTGTGCTGTACCGGGGAAGGTGTAAAATCAACCTTGTGTTCACAGAGGGTAGGAGGTGGCACATAAATTTTTAAGGCAGTGAGCAACAAAGAACAGCTTTTTACAATGCCCCTTAGTTGTAACTAATCCTGTGAACGACTGTGAACAATTCTGAACGTGCGAGCACTGTGTGTCTGGTGTAACTAACATTTTTCCTTTCATACTGAAATGGAGTAGGTGCATCCATGCTCTCAACAGTACAGAGGACAGCAGCAATTACTGATGTAGTTATCTGTTTTCTCTCTGTCTCTTTCCCCTTTGCTCCTTTTGTCCTGTTTATCTGCTTTCCTCTTTGCTCCTTTTGTCCACTTTATCTGCTTTACCCTCCTTCCTTACTTACAGGGGCTATATCAAAATGAATGAGAGGTGTTGAAAAGAATAGCCTGACCTAGCCAAGAATATACCTGCAGTTCTTGAGGTATGTCCTTCAATAAGAAAAAAAAACAAGTTTTTTTGACTAGAGACACTGTGGCATTACCTGCCATGGTAATTTGTTCCAGTATCTTCATTTCGCTTCAGGACATACCTCAGTGAATGTAGCTGAGTGAGACCTGACTTAGGTTTTCTGTCAAGTTCACAGATGTGTATAGCAAGCCTCAAAGATTAATTTAGCTGCGTGACGTACAACTGTTGTGTTCATACATGCAATACAGAAATATCTTGTATTGCATACATGAGATTTAGACGATGGTTTGTTGGGTTTTTTTATAATACTGCATTTCTTTGGCTGTCTTCTCTTGCTTTTTTGGGGAAAGAGGCTGTGCAGTGGCTCAGGCCATGTGTTCTGCTTTTCTGTCTCCTCCTGCTGGGAAGCTTTGAGACAGAAGGCATTTGTTTCAGTCATATCCTTTAAGAGCCTTTAGTCTATGTTTCCTGGAGTTGTATTTATATCCCTTCAAAGAGAACAAGTTCTTTAGATGCCTTTTAAATGTTTTCAAGCCTGAGGGTTTTTTTTTTATTTGAATATTAGAGGCCCATTCTTTTGGAGGGAGTCTAAATAAATATTCTTAAGATGTAGTTGTACTACCAAGTTGTGCTTTTGCTGTATTTCTTTTAAATTGCCTTTTGTCAATTATTCTTTAAACTGCTTTTAAGACCCTGTTAGATTATTTTTGCCATTATAATATATTGTCACTACAGAAAAATATATTTGTTTGCTTTCTACCTTGATTAAATGTCAATGTCATGCATTCATACACATCCCATCTTTCAGAACACATTAGTGAGGTGGATCTCTGTGCATCTTTTGTCTCAAGAAAACATGTCATATAGACAGGCTGATTTGAACTAAAATAATTTTCAATAGATCTTCCTTTCTTGCAAGCTAGGAACTCTAACTGCAGTATGCATCTCGCCTCTTAAGAGTGTTTACTGTTCCTCAGGATTCAAACATCTGCTTAGCTTGATACCATGCAAATAAACCACAATATGGTTTCAGATATCATTCAGAAACACTGTTAGCAAGCACCTGGCAAATGCCACCCCAGCCTCTGAATGTGGTGTAGTTACTGTATGTCAAAGTCAAGAATGTTTCTTAATCCTTCTTATTTTTGGTTCTCCAGAATGTGTTTGGGTCATGGTAAGATGATATTCTTTCCCTTCCTTGCACGTTAGAGACAAAATGTCTTTCTTTGTCCCGTTTATTTCTGACTGTGCTAATGATTTCTGTTACCAAACTGGTAGAAGTCCATGAGGGTCCTCAATAAGAGCATAAACAAAACCCCTCCAGAACAATAACAATAAGAGAGCTTGTATATTTTCCTGTGTTGAAAAATGTCTGGGTAGAAACCAGTTAGCCATGGGACTCTACAGCAATCGTTAGGTCAATCCTTTCTTTGTGAGCACAGCTGGGGCAAGTACAATGAGACTGAAGATTGGAAATGTAACTGCTGGGCAAAGGCCAAAATGCCCTTTTTTGGCACCTTCGTGCACATTGTTAGCCAAGCAGCAGGTAGATTTGCCGCCAGAGTTCGGCTGATGTGTGTGCATGTCCTGTAGATTCTTGAGGCTGATGGAGTTTGCTGGTAGGCAATTTCACATTATTTTCAGCATGACCTTTGCACATCTTCTTGCACAGCAGTATTCACTCTTGTAAATAACACGTCGTGTGTTGTAGCTGTTACCTACCTGCGACTGTATCTCTCACCTACCTAAAAAGCTGAAGGCATCTGGTAATAAGATGGAGAGACTACTGATACGTACATTGGACTTTCTTTCCTTGTATGTATAATGGCCCTCTAGGTTTTCTGTGGAGTGCAGTTATCTTTGCACTGCATAAACCTTTAAGGCTTCAGCTAAAGCAGACTTTTTTCCTTGTTTTGTTCTAAGAAATCCAAAACTTGTTATTTCATTATTAAAATCTCCGTTCTTTGATGTCCCCAGCAGAATGTTTCGCATTTTTTTTCCCAGTATGGTTTGTCTCAGGTGGTGGTTGGGAATGTTCAGGAAGACTGCATTCAACCTGCCTGTAGTCTCCCTTGCCTTTATACCTGGCGATGGAGGAGCAGGGTTTCTCTAGAGCACATACATCAGACCATCTGAGGGAACTCCTCCTGTGGGCTGTCAGCTGCAGCACCCTCTCTCTGTCTCTGTGTTTGTAGAGCCATGGGCATGAACCTCTCTAAATACTCAGTATTCTGAACTGTTGCATTTAAAGTATGCATTTCTCCTTTGGCTGGAGAATGCTTAGAGAAGTTCGTTGACAATAACTAATGAAATTGTTCATGCAAGTATTAACATTAGTTATGTTGAGAATAAAGTTACATTACCTCTGCTGACAGTACTGTTCTGTGTTAGTATTACCTGGAAGGTAGCGCTGATGACAGATGTGACTCAGTGGAGCTCATGACTGGGTCCATGAAAATTATTTAACTTTTTCCATGTATGTACATACAAGAACTCTATTAGATTACAGCAAATAAAGCCTAGAGAGGTAAAAGATGGCTAAAAGCTGAATGGGTTTCTACATGAGAGATGAAGATTTCCAATGGAACAAGTATGTGGATTTCAAAGTCCAAGAGTCCATTAAAAGTTTGCTTTGTATGTCAGCCAGCTGATGAAAGTTACGGTTGCTAACTTTAGGTGGTAGGGTGATAAAACAGAGTTGTTGTTTGTGGGAGGTGAGGGAGTGTCCTGGAGGTCTGCCCCTCTGCTCGCTAATCACCAAAGGGGATAGCGGCTGCCACCCCCTCCTCCCCACTCTGCCGCCCGGCTTCTGTCCCTGCTGCAGATAGCTCAGCTTCTCCTGTGCCTGCTCCTCACTTGATGTTTTAAAAGTAACCAAGGTGTCACTGCTGAGATACGACTAAATGCTGAATTTTGCAAAGGGTTTTGCTTTTCTGCAGATGCTTGGGTAAGCAGAGTTCTGTTACCCAAGAACACTGTCAAGTAAGTAACAGCAGCTTCTGTTCCAAAAAAGCCAAGGCAAATACTGGCTGGTCAACAGTAGTATGGCTGGTAGGAAGCTTCCAACCAGACCACAGAAACAGACTTTTTTTTTTTTAATTTAAAGCATTTTTTAATTGAAAAACTAAACACCCTCAAAACCAAGACCCACCTCTCAGGAGTATGAATGGGGAGTGATCACAGTTGATGTTCTGGTTTTTTGTCTTCAAACTCTCTGTTTGCAGTTATATTGAAAGGTCTGAATATAGACTTTTTTAAAGAAGTCTTTTTTTCTAGTATTAAATAATTTATTTCTAAGTAAATGATGCAACTATCATGGAAATGACTATGTTATAACCTCTAGCTTACATCCAACAACTTTTCTTTACAGCTCTCCTCCACGTTTTCCTTTTTTTTTTTTCTTTTAAAAAAAAAAAAAGACCTCTTTAATAGTAAGTCTTTTCTCCACC